CCGCGCATGCCAGGCTTGAGCCACATCCCCAGCCCTATTAAGCAGTTCTTAATGATGAATTTTAGGTTACTTTAAATTACTATAAACAAAACTACAGTGAATGTTTTTGTGTACAAATCATGATGTATTTCGTGCAATTATATCTATAGGTTTGTGGAAATAGAGATCATCCAATTGCGAACAGAGACTATTCATAGCTTGCTGTAGTAGAGGAACTTGTTTTTGGCATAGACTCAAAGGCAGGAAAGTTTTTTTAGTTGAAAACAAAAAAGGGAAGATTCCAGGTATTTGGAGATTGTTGGCAGGAGAAAGCTGGTAGTGGGCAAACTAGAAGTGGGGCATCTTATCTTATTGTTTAAGGGAGCATATTTGGCTTTCTTGGTTGGTCCTAAGTGTCTCAGGTTGAAATGCTTCTTGGTGGAATTGTGAGGTCAAAGGATGTGTGTGTACGTTTATGTATGGTTTTGTAATTTATTTCTTTCCTCCTTTCCTTCCCCTCCCTCCCTCCCTCCTTCCCTCCCTTCCTTTCTTCCTTCTCTCTCTCTCTTTCTTTCACTGGAGATCAATCCCAGGGCCTTGTTCATGCTAAATAGATTACCAAATTGCCTCCTGAAAATTTTATGGTAATTATGTCTCTCACCAGAAGTACTTCAGAATTCAGCCTGTTTCTTTCTACCCTTTCCGGCATGGGGTATTATCAGAGCTTGAAATGTTTACCAATCTGATAGGTAAAAAATAATTCATATATAAAAATTTATATGTTGATTCATTAGTTTAAATTTTTAGAATTATTTACTTGAATAATCATAAATATATGTAAAAATTGTCATTGTTCTTGTGGCAGAAATGATTCAGAATTAAATAAAACAAAAAAGTTTACTTTTATGGAATATTTGAGTAATTATGCTATAACTGTTGAAAAGTCACAATAACCTGAAAATTCAGTCAGTAAAATTTAAGTTTACTATCTTTGTTTGCTTTTAAAGAGCAATTTTAAGTTCAGAGAAAAATCKGCAAGAAGGAATAGAAATTTTCTGTCTTCTACCCTGACATGTRCATAGCCACCCCCATAGTTTACTGMATTTTGAGTTAACAATAACTCAAGTTTTATACTTCTTCTGATATAATGTTGGAAAAGTTTTAAGATTCTTAGCCTTTTTCAGATATTATCAATGCGATTTAATTGGTTTATAAAGAAAGCTGTAGATCTTTTATATGTGGTTTTAAATTGTATATTATGAATTTCTGTGTTATCTTTATGAAACTGGTAACCAACCTACATTTCTTTATAAGATTTTAAGTTCATGTACTTTAGGGATCCAATTTATTATTATTTTTATGTGGATTATATTTTGATCTTCCATGATAGTTCATTGTTTTAATTGATTAAAAAAATCTAAATTAGTTTTGTTGATAATATTTTGCATTCTTTTGTTATTATTACCTTCTGAAATGAAAGCTTTACAAAATGTGTTTAGGTCTGCATGAATTTGATGCCCTGAAGGATCCTGAAGTGAATGAATTTAGAAGAAAAATGCGCATATTCAGTGAGGAAAAGATTCAGTCACTTGTGGGATTATCGTGGATCGACTGGCTAAAGCAAACGTATCCACCGGAGCATGAGCCATCCACCCTAGAAAACTTGGAAGATAAGCTTTATGGAGGAAAGCTCATTGTAGCTGTTCATTTTGAAAACTGTCAGGTAGTATCATATTTTATTAAGAAATATTTTGTAATAAGTCTGATTATTACCAGAACATTGCTCAATTCTTAAAAATGTGTCTTGCTTGCTTAGTAAACACTGTTACAAAGAAAAGTTTTACGCCTGGGGATGTGGCTCAGTGGGAAAGTGCTTGCTTGGCRTGTGTGAGGCCCTGGGATCAATTACCAGCACTGCAAATACAAAAACGAGAGAGAATAAGAGAAGCTTTATATTTAAGAGGGRAGTGTATTTAAAATTTATACATATCTAAGGTGTCATCCTTTGCACACCCATTATTACTTTATATAGTAGGATAGTAGTTTAAAAGGGTGAAAAGTTTGCTCTTTGTGTCAGGTCTCATAGAGTGGTGAAACTGCACTGTTTAATTTTTACATTTTTAAAGAGATTGAAAAGGAACTGAAATGATTTTAAAGAAACTTTGAGATTTTAAAAAATTTTTGTATACCAGAAATTTAACCCAAGAGCACTTAATCACTAAGCCACATCCCCAGCCCTTTTTTATTTTTTATTTTGAGACAGTGTCTAACGAAGTTACATAGGGCCTAAGTTGCTGAGGTTGGCTTTGAACTTGTGATCCTTCCTGMCTCAGCCTCCTGAGCTTCTGGGATTACAGGTGTGGGCCAACATGCCTGGAAAAAAGATATTTTTTAAAAGAAACAAAGAGTTTCCATATTTCTTCATTTGCATTCTGTGAATATGTGAATTGAGTGGTGATATGGAATTTGGCATTATAGAGTGTATATACTGTGAATCCATATTGAATGTTCATAGCAATTATACAAACTAGATTGTGCTACTACTTTGTGTATCAAGTATAGTCAACCTATAATTAAGGGATTAACCTTAGTTTTAGGTAGGAATTCAAAGATTATTTTTGTTTGGTTTGCTCTTTTTGGTATTAGAGGTTGAACCCATGGTCACTCTACCCCTGAGCCACATCCCCAGYGCTTTTATTTTTTATTTTGAGATAGGCTCTTGCTGAATTGCTAAGCTTGCAGTCCTTGTGCCTCAGCATCCTGAGTCACTGGGCTTACAGGCAAGGATGTTTGTTCTTAATTTATAATGGAAGTCATAAAAATGATAATAACCATAATAGTAGTCTTAATATTGAGTACTTATACTTCTGTAAGGCATTTTTCATATATTCTCCAGTTCCCACAACAACCTTTTATAAGTGTTGTTTCTTCCCCATTTTTAGTAAAGAAACTAAAAGCCGGATGGTGGCGCATGCCTGTAATCCCAGTAGTTTAGGAGGCTGAGACAGGAGGATCACAAGCTTAAAACCAGCCTCAACAAGTTAGAGAGGCCCTAAGCAACTCAGCAATACTCTGTCTCAAAATAAAATACAAAAAAGGGCTGGGGATCTGGCTTGGTTGTTAAGCTCCCTGGGTTTAAGTTCCAGTACCAAAAAAGAAAAAGGAAACTGAAAGAGCAAACAAAAGTTTGCTCTTTTGTGCCAGGTCTCATAGTTGGTCCTTGAAAGAATCAGGATTTTATCCAGTATTTAACCAGTTATCTGATTATGCTTTCTTTTATTTTTTATTTTTTTAATTTTTAATTTATTTTAYAATAGAATGCATATTGACATATTGTACACAAATGGAACACAACTTTTCATTCCTCCAGCTGTACATGGTGCAGTCACTCCAATAATCATACATGTATATAGGGTAATAATGTCTTATTCCTTGGTCCTTCCCATCCCCACACTCCCACCCCTCCCCTCACTCCCTTCTACACAAACCAAAGTTTCTTCATTCTTCCCATCCCCTGGCCCCACTGTGGATCAGCATCCGCTTATCAGAGTAAACATTTGGCTTTTGTTTTTTTTGGGATTGGCTTATTTCACTTAGTATGATATTCTTTAGTTCCATCCATTTACCTGCAAATGCCATAATTTCATTCTTCTTCTTCTTTTAAAATTTTTAATTGTAGATGGACACAATACCTTTGTTTTGTTTAGTTTTTTTATGTGGTGCTGGGGATCAAACCTATTGCTTCACACATGCTAGGCAAGTGCTCTACCATTGAGCCACARTCCCAGCCCCATAATTTATTCTTTAAGGCTGAGCAATTTCCATTGTGTATATATGTACCATATATTCTTTACTCATTCATCTGTTGAAGAGTATCTAGGTTGGTTCCATAGTTTCACTATTGTGAATTGAGCTGCTATAAACATTGATGTGGCTGCATCTCTGTAGTATGCTGTTTTAAGTCCTTTGGTTATAAACCGAGGAGTGGGTTAACTGGGTCAGATGGTGGATCCATTCTAAGTTTTCTGAGGTATCTCCATACTACTTTCCGTAGTGGTAGCACCAATTTCCAGTCCCACCAGCAATTTATGAGTGTACCTTTTCCCCCACATACTCACCAACACTTATTATTGCTTGTGCTCTTGATAATTGCCATTCTGACTGGTGTGAAATGAAGTCTTAGAGTAGTTTTGATTTTATGCCTCTTTTTAGACAACATGTTAGTATTTTTAAGGGCAGATGTGAAAAAAGGATCTTGCCTTTAGGCATTTTCCCTAGCCAAGAAAGTTTGTCAAAGAAAAAATTCTATATATTATCCTATCCTGAGATATAATTAAATTAAAGTTTATTTTGAGTAAAGATTTTATTATCATAAAGTATCAGCCTCAAATTTAAAATACTATTTAGGGACTTCTGCGAGAAGTAGAATAAGGAAGTTTATTGTTGAGGTGACTAAAATTTAACTTGGAGACACTGACTCAGGGTAATGCATGTGTAGGTCAGACTGAATTTCATTTTATGGGTCAAATGTCTACTGGGATACACAAATAATGTAATCATTCTGGTTGCAAAGTATATGTTAAAATGTTTTAAGATTAGGAGAGAAATGAAGATATTGTAAAATCTTACTGGATTTTAAGCTGTAGTAGAATTTAAAAGTTCAAAGGAGTTTAGAGATTGTCTAATCAGACTCTATACAATTTTTTTTCTTTTTTTTAGTTTCTGATATCATGTATTTCTTCCTGAATATATCCAGTGCTAGGGGATGTACATCCTCTGCCTCCTGAAGTAGTGTGTTTACATTGTGGGCAAATATGTTTAAATTTTGGATTAAAAAAGCTCAGGGGTAAAGCGCTTACCTTTCATGTGTGAAGCACTGGGTTTGATCCTCAGCACCACATAAAAATAAATACAGACATTGTGTGTTCATCTACAACTAAAAAAAAATATTTAAAAAAAATGTTCAGTCTTGCCTTCTGTGACTTCTGCTTTTCTCAATGTAGTAATCATATGGTCTCTTTTTTTCCCTGTATATGCCAGATATTCAGGTAGTTAAAAATATAGCAACAGGCCTTCCTGTGTTTTCCTTTTCTTTAGGCTAAACATTTCCCCCAAGGGGTTAAAACAAGTTTCTTGAGTTTTGGATCCTATAGACCACTAAAATTATTGTTATTAAAGAATTTTGAGAAGTCACATAGAATTTATAGATTTTATWAAAAAAATTTATCCAAGTAAGGATATTTTAAAAACCCTAAACCATTATTTAATATCTGTTGTATTTCACAAATGAATTAACACTTTATCATAAAAAATATACATGACACAATCTCAAAGACACCTGGCAACCTACTCCAGTATATATGCATTCTCAATTCCTCCCACTGATGTAAAATTCTCATTTTACCATCAACCACTAACAACCAACGCTAGTTCATAAGGAGCAACAAATGGGGAAGGCTAAACTAAAAGTGAGATGAAATGTAACAAGGTATTCATTTAGTTAAGATATTTTGGAGACTGGTAGGGGGAAAACTAGCCATCAATTTCTGTGGGAAATACCAGACGTTTTAAATGGGTTCATAGTTAATATCAGCCAACCCTAAAACATGGCACTTAGGAAGCAGGATATATAGAACCATGGACCTGTCATGTCTGAGTTTTACCGAGAGTCCCAGGAGTTGAATCACAGATTCATTGTTTTTATTTCATTAATTTTTTTTGTAGTACTGGGGATCAAACTAGGCAAGTGCTCTTCCCTGATTATTTTTTATTTATTTACTCCTGCCTGCCCCCCAGTATGGGGTATTGAACCCATTTGCCCTCTACTGCTGAACTATATCCATAACCTTTTTTCCCCCTTGAGACATGGTCTCACTAAGTTGCCACAGGCTGATCTGGAATTTTCAATCCTCCTACTTCAGTATCTAGATTGTTGGGTTGCAGGAGTGTACCTAGATCTCGTTATTTTTAATTCCAGTAATCACAGTTTRTAAAGGATACTGATAAACCTGAGCTGTACTGTCAACCTCATTTTCTACTTCTTAAAGATATGAAATAATTGTATCACTAGAGGGAGTGACACCTGCAATTTGAAATAGTCCTCTGTGTGGGGAAGGCTGGAGTGTGTTAAAGAGGTAGAGACTATGGTATTTGGGAGCATTCCAGATAATGTGTCAGGAGAATAAGGAGAAATGTGAGGAACAACGAAGCATGAAAAATGAAACTATTTTCTCACCTGTGTTGTCAATTGAATTACCAAAGTTGTCATAATGTAAAAGTATGAAATGCACCCCCTCCCTGCTAAACAGAGGTATCTGTCTCCACCCATATATTTATTGTCTCTGATGTTTAGCTATTTGTAAACATTGAATAATAAAATGCAAATTAATTGTTCTCTACAATTAGTTTTATTAAAGAGGAAGTATTTCATGAAAAGTTATTGAAAGTGATGTTGACAACTGCTTGAATGAAATACAGGAAAAACCAGTCCATTTGAATTCTGACTGAGTTACTCTAGTTCATAGATCTTTTCTTTTATTATTTTTTGGGGGTGCCAAGGATTGAACCCAGGGTCACTTTACCATTCAGCCACATCCCCAGCCCTTTACTTACTTACTTACTTACTTACTTATTTATTTATTTATTTATTTATTTATTTATTTATTTATTTTCTACCTACCTACCTACCTACATTTATCTATCTATCTATCTTTCTATTTATTTATTTATTTATTTTTAAGGCAGGGTCTTGCTAAGTTGCTGAGAGCCTCACTAAGTTGCTGAGGCTGACTTTGAACTTGAAATCCTCCTATCTCAACTTCCTTAGCTGCTGGGATTATAGGCATTTCCCAGTGCGCTTGGCTAATTAATATGTTTTTAGAATACATGAATTTAACTTCAAAGGCCTTTGGGGAAAATTATGAAGCCCTCTGTATGTGTTTATGTGTTTTCATTATATGCATGTATTATAATACATCCATTGTCTTCTTGATTGTGTCTCCCACATAACTAATGAGGATGAATCTCTTTCACATACTTATGAATCATTTTTTAATTTCTATTATGTTTCCCTTTTTTTATTTAAAAAATTGGATTGTGTTTTTTATATTGATGAAAGTTCTTCTTTTTTGAAGGTATGTATTTTTTTTTTTTTTTACTTATGTGTGCTCCAAAAGCTGGGTGAGGTTACAGGAACCTTTAGCCCCCCCGGCCAGCACAGGCTTCATAAATGAAGGTTCAATACGTAAGAAATCCTCAGGGAGTTTGAATTAAAGAGACAGGCTCTAATTATCTTTAAAGCAGCTCCAGGACAGCTTCTCCTAGCTCCAGCCTCCAGCCACCTATTATGGTAGCGAGATTTACTGAAGAGGCTATCGAGAGAGGAAAGAACATGCCAGGGAGTGGACTTATATTGGGGAACAAAAAATTCTGGGGAAAATCCCATCCAATGAAGATTAAGGGAGGCAGTGTTCCAAGGTGAGGTGCAACGATTRGGTCTTCAGGGTAGTGGCAGATACGCCTCCACACGGACAAGCCCTGGGACTTGAGAAGGGTGGGGAAAGGATGTGTCTAAAGGCCTCTCGCCCAGCCAGGGAGGATGTTCGAGGATGGCCTCCCACAGGCACCTATAGTATCAGCATCTTAGGAGTCTGAGGCAGAAGAATCAAGTGAGGCTAGGAGTTGAAGCGTAGCCTAGCAGCATACTGAGAGACCCTGTTTCAAAAGAATGAACAGGCAGGAAGACAAGAACTGAGCAGAATAGAGCTGTAAATGTATTCTTCCAATATGTGCTTTTTTCCCCATTTTTTGTTTTGTTAGTTCTGTTTTGCTTCTATCTATCCTTAGGTTCTAGTCACTGTTCAGATTTCCTCAATTTTTATACATGCATATACATGTAAAAATAGACACACACACATGCATATAYATGTAAAAATAAACACTGCTGTTGCATGGAGTAATGCTGTTCTGTGTATTTCTGATGGGATATACCTCAAATAGCAATAGGGAGTTGTAGGTATATGTGTATAATGTGGTCTTGTGTTATGCAAATACTGGTGATTAAACTCAGGCTGCTCTAATACAGAGTTACATTGCCAGCATAGGTTTTTTAATTTTTAAAAGAATGATGTTTACTGGAAAATCCATGTTTTCTATTACAATGGATGGTAAAATTTAGTTAAATATTTATCTTATCTGTGGGATCTGTGGCACTAAGTATGTAGGAAGACAACTTGCAAATTATTCAGAAATCTTAGCAAGTTTTACATGGGTACATAATTAGAATACAACAAAATTTACTGGAATAGTATACTGTAAACGATACACATGTAAATGTGCACACTTGTGCATAGTATTACATAATGATTATCAATTGTGGTTTTTCAACACAAATGTTAAATTTCCTGCTTTTGTGTTCTACCTTCCCTTTTTTAGGATGTGTTTAGCTTTCAAGTATCTCCTGAAATGAATCCCATCAAAATAAATGAATTGGCAATCCAAAAACGTTTGACTATTCATGGGAAGGAAGATGAAGCTAGCCCCTATGACTATGTGTTGCAAGTCAGTGGGAGAGTAGAATATGTATTTGGTGATCACCCACTAATTCAGTTCCAGGTATGTGCATTAACTGTCAGTTTACCAAAAAAAAAAAAATGTTATGTGTAAGTATTTAACTTTTATTTCTGATTGTAAAAAGGTGTGTTTATCTTGGAACCTTTGGGACCTACAGAAAATTATGCTGAGATTATCAGTGTTAATATATTCACATTCTTTGTAGTAATGTATGTTTTTCTTCTTCTTCTTCTTCTTCTTCTTCTTCTTCTTCTTCTTCTTTGGTTGGCTGGGGATTGAACCCAGGACCTTGTGCATTCGAGGCAAAGCACTCTACCAATTGGCCACATCTCCAGCCCATGATATGTTTTTAATCTAATAATTATATACACATTAATATGTATCTAAATGTGTTTGCATTTTACTTTTTTCGGTTGTATCAGTTGGTGTTCTGTCATAATTGTTTTCCTGCAGCATTCTGAAATCTTAACACAAATTATTGTAGCTATTTACTGTTTCCTCATATAAACAAACATATGGTTTAAGTGTGAAGTATTTTAGGGGAGCTGGAATATTTTAAAAGTTGATTAAATGGTCACTTGTTGAATCATATAAAAACTTACTTATATGAAAATGCTAAAAACTTGTTATTTATTTTTTAAATAGAGTATTTTGGGGTACTGGGAATTGAACCCAGGGCCTTATGAATGCTAAACATGCACTGAGTTATATTCCCACTGCAGTGAAGTAACATTTCAACTTTTCATTGTGAGTTGGCAAACTTCTAAATTTCAGTGTGTCATATTTATGTCTATAATCTTCTTTGCTCCTTTTTTGTTGCTTCCATTTGCGGTAGGAATTTTGCATGCATTAGGTCCTAAAAAGCCTTCCTTGAGGCTGGGGTTGTGGCTCAGTAGGTAGAGCACTTGCCTAGCACGTGTGAGGCAATGTGTTTGATCCTCAGCACCACACAAAAATAAATAAATAAAATAAGTTTTAAAAAATACTTTAAAAAAAGCCTTCCTTAATTTTTGAGGTATTTATTTTCATTTAKTCATGAGTTATTTGAGCATATACTTTATGCAAGGTACTACACTGCCTCTGATAATTTTTGGAGTAAAGTGGAATTTAAATAGAAGGTGTTCGATACAATGTCCCTTTTCCCACAAGGTTTGTTTCCTGGCTTTGTCTTCAAGGAACTTAAAGATATTTTCATTGAAATTRTATTTGGAGGCTAAAAAATGATTATTATGTGAGGAATAATAGAATAAGTTCCAAATTAGATTTCAATAGTAACAGGATTTAAATTGTGTTCTTTTGTTATATCGTTGTTTTGTTTTATACAAGGGGATGTAAACATGCCAAATATAAAATGACGTCTGAGACTACTGAGATTTATTAGCAGGCAACTGAATTTTATACTTTKTTGGGTTTCTGGCATGACCTTAATTTTTGTAGTTTAGCAGATAGAAGGTCTAGGAGCAGTTTTAACTTGTGTGAACAGCTTTGGGAGCTGAGRCATTCTGATAGTAAGTGATTCAACCCGTGAGAAGGAGGAAGAAGACAAGTACTTGGTGGGCAGCACAGAAGTACTAACTTCTCTTTGTGTTCTGCTGTCATTCAAGTAGCATCCATTAAAGTTATTTTAAAAATAACTTTCTGGGACTGGAGTTGTGGCTCAACAGTAGAGCGCTCACCTGGAACGGGTGAGGCCCTGGGTTTGATCCTAAGCACCATATAAAAATAAACAAATAAATAAATAAAATAAAGGTATTGGTGTCCAACTACAACTAAAAATAAATTTAAAAAATAACTTTCTAAATAGAATACAATACATTGAAYCACACTTTGAAACTATATAGGAAATTTATTCTGTTGAGGAATACATTGGATTTCTATTTATTAGGAATCTTTGTTAATATGAATAATCATCTCCTTTTTATATGCCTCTGAAGAATCCACTGTTTTCATAGAAATTAGACAGATTTGGGGGGCTGGAGTGACCAATAGTTTTTTTTTTTTTTTTTTTTTTTTAAGCTGGGGAGACAGTAAAAAATGCTTACCTAGAACCTTGTGCTGAAAAAGGGCCACTTTCAGGGATGCACAGGAAAATGTGAATCTGCCAAATGTGAACTACGTTTTCACCTTTCCTAGCTGATTGGCTTAAATATCACATTGACAGTAGATAAGTGGTTTTAAATCCAGGTCTTATAGATAACTTAACCCTTCTGAGTTTCATTTCTTTAAGCTATTAAATGAGGGATATAATCTCTCTTGTTGAATGTTGTGAAGATCATAAGGCTAACTGTTTTATGGGGTTGTGATGTTAAATTATCATGTTCTTAATATCAAGTTGTTTAGTTAAAATGTGCTTTTACAGTGCTTGTTGTATGACAATGCTCAAATTAATATTTTATTTTCTTTCTTTCTTTTTTTTTTTGGATACTAGACATTGAACCCAGTGGTACTTAGCACTGAGCTTCATCCCCAGACCTTTTAATTTTTTATTTTGAGGCAGGATCTCGCTAAGTTGGTGAGGCTGACTCCAAACTTGGATCCTCCTGCCCCGGCCTCCTGAATTGCTGGGATTATAGGCATGCATCACCATGCCCAGCTCAAATTAATTTAGTCTGTTTTAAGTATTTGTCTGAAAATCCACACTTTCCTCTTTCTTGCTGTTGTAGTATATCCGGAACTGTGTAATGAACAGGACTCTACCCCATTTTATACTTGTGGAATGCAGTAAGATAAAGAAAATGTATGAACAAGAAATGATTGCCATAGAGGCTGCCATAAATCGGAATTCATCTAACCTTCCTCTTCCCTTACCACCAAAGAAAACACGAGTTATTTCTGTAAGTTTCATGTGTGAACCTTTGGTAACCCCAAAAGGCATGTGATTTTTTTTAAGTTATATGCCAAGTCTCACACATTTCCTTTGCTCACTTCTCCTTCTGTGAAAACTAATGCGCGTTTGTGAAAAACTTATTACCAGTTACTTAAAACTAGCTTTCTAGCTATTAATTTTCTTAGCTCAAGCTACAGATAAATGTAAATATACCATTTATTTTTTGTGCCCCCTCAAGAAAAAGTGCCATCAAATTAGAGATTGTATGTTATATAAGTTCATATATTGAACTTATATGACTATTCTAGTAGAAAAGATAGATGCCCAGAAATAGAAGTATTACCAGTTTCTATCAACTTAACCAAAATAGTATTTTTGATGAGATTTTTCTGTGTTTTTAAAATTAAAAACTTTCAATATTAAATATGCATCAAAGGCACTTTTTTTTCCAGAACGTATTTGTATAAATATTAAGTTTGGGTTCATTAACATTTTTTATAAGTTACTCAGTCTTTACAATTCTGAATTTAATTGCTCCTTGATGATATATTACTATATTAAAGTAAATGGTCAATTTATCCAAAGTTTTTCATACTGTTTGTTGATGCTTTTTATTTTAGTGATATCTCTTAGTAGTGGAATGTGTTCCATGGTAAAACATTTGCCCACAAAACCAAGTGCTAGTGATTACAATGCTTTATTTAATACATGTAATTTTCAGTTGTAAGTTCAGAGCCCTGTTTTCATAATTTTGGCAGTAGATATGAGAACTTATAGATGACTTGATTGTTATCATAGAATCTTAATTTCTTTCTTTAAAATAGCTCTGTATTTATTTCCTTCTTTTACAGCATGTGTGGGACAATAACAACCCTTTTCAAATTGTCTTGGTTAAGGGAAATAAACTTAACACAGAAGAAACTGTAAAAGTGAGTACTTCTTAAGATTTGAATTTGCCRTGTGCTCTGTTATTTGAATAACTCACTCATATGCTCCATAACGTCACATTGCAGATTTTTAAACTTTACCCATATCCATCAATTACATGAGATAGAATATGGCAATTTTTGTAAGACTATTGAGTATTTTTGTTTGTTTGTTTGTTTGTTTTAAAACATTCTTGGAATAGTTGAAGATCTCCTAGAAAGGCTGACATTATTTTTCCATTATGTAGAATAAATTATTTTTATAGCAGGAATTCAGCAAGTGAAATTTAAACTGAAACTACGGATCACACACAAACTTACTGTCCTGTCATCTTTGCCTAGAGCTGCATTCAGCCTCTTCTCTCAGTTTTCTTTCTTTCTTTAAACTTGCTGAGCACAGAGAAAATGATATCATTTCCAGGGGGTGGGGTGGTGGTGGAGAATGGATGATTACATTAAAGACCACAAGTTGTTAACTCATGGGGATTTATTGCACAACCCCATACAATTTTAAGTAAAGACCTTGTAAGGCATTTAGCCTCAAAAGATAAAGTGTTTTCTTTATTTTGTTAGGCAAGAAATTTGAGAGAACAGTTTTGTGATCCAAGGAAGAGAGATTCAGTTAATTTGAAATTTTTGGTGGTATTCGGGTGCACCTTGCCAAATATTACCAGTCACTTGCTTTTTGTACATGAATATTAAAGATTCTCTGAAGGAGGATGATTGGGGTAATGGAGAGAGATAGGTTAAAGGCTACAACAAGATGCAGTTATTTTGAATGAATAATTCTAGACATCTAATGTACAAAATGAGGACTGTAGTTAATAATATTGTATGATGGAAATTTGCTAAAGAGTAGATTTCTTTTTTTTAAATTTTTTTATTGTTTTAKTTATATGACAGAAGAATGCATTTATGCACTTTAATATAATATACATAGATGGGATATAATTTCTCATTTTTCTGAGTGTATATGTTGTACAATCACATTGATCATATAGTCACATATATATATACAGTAATAATGTTTGTTTCATTCTACTCCTTTCCTATCCTCACATTCCCTCCTCTCCCCTCCCATCACTTCCCTCTACCTAATCTAAGGTAGTGCTATTCTTCCCTAGTGCCACCCCCCTCACCTTATTGTGAATTAACATCTGCATATTAGAGAAAACATTCTCCCTTTGGTTTTGTGGGATTGGCTTATTTTGCTTAGCATGATATTCTCCAACTCCATCCATTTACTGGCAAATGCCATAATTTCACTCTTTTTTAAAGCTGAGAACTCTGCATCCCTGGGATGAATCACACTTGATCATAGAGCACTATCTTTTTAATATGTTTTTGTATGCAATTTACCAGAATTTTAGCATCTATGTTCATCAGAGATATTGGCCCGAAGTTTTCTTTCCTTGATGTGTCTTTGTCTGGTTTGGGTATTAGGGTGATATTAGGCTCGTAGAAAGAATTTGGAAAGGTTCCATTGAGTATATATACCACATTTTCTTTAACCATTCATTTATTGAGGGACACCTAGGTTGGTTCCATAGTCTAGCTATTGTGAATTGAGCTGCTATAAACATTGATGTGGCTGTGTCACTACAGTATGCTGATTTTAAGTCCTTTGGGATTAAAATAAGGAGTGGGATAGCTGGGTCAAATGGTGGTTCCATTCCCAATTTTCTGAAGAATCTCCATACTGCTTTCCATAGTGGTTGAACCAATTTGCAGTCCCACTAGTAATGTATGACTGTACCTTTTCCCCTATATCCTCACCAACATTTATTGTTGCCTGTGTTCTTGATGATTGCCATTCTGACTGGAGTGAGATGATATATAAAGAACTCAAAAACCTTAACACCAACCCCCCCCC